GTGTGATAACGTCCTTAGACCAGCCAAGTTATTTTGGCTCCAGGGCAAAAATCTGCAACAGCAACATTTCCTGGCAGTGATTGTGTTGGTGATGATGATGATGATGATGATGATGATGATGATGAAGCATTAATGAAATAAATCAATTTTCTTGTGGCTATTTCATGACTACCCAAATCCATCATCCAAACGCTTCTACCCTGCCTAATGATTCACCTAGACATGTGTGGAATGACTGTATGCTGTCTCAAGTGAACACTTACAGCTGCAGCTGTACTGCAGAAATAATCCAGTCTGACACCACTTTAATAGACATGGCTCAGTGCTATGGAATTCTGGGAAATGTAATTTTGTGTTTCTGTCAGAGAGCTCTGGTGTCACAACAATTTACAAACTACTGGATTATTTCCACAGTGCAGATGTAAGTGTGCAGCACCGTGAACTCTGAAGGATCCCTCTCAGTACTTTTTAAAACTGGCTGAGTCAAGATTAGGATAGAATGAAAGGGCAGGCCATTCTGAGATGAAGTCTGGGTACGTTACTATTGGGGGACTATGGTTTTAAGAATCTATGTACATTTATGGAAAACTCAGTGGGCATAACACTGATCTGGTTTCTCTCTGAAATAGTCTAACAAGATGATGTGGGAGCAGCTTTCAGTTTGCTACATACAAAACCCCTTGATTCTCCCAGCATGCTGAAAGGTCAGAAGGGAACAGAGCTGTATGGGACATTTAGCTTCTCTTCTGAGCAACCTAAGACAGCTTCCAATGAAGATTGTTGTCCTGTCACCTCTAATGTAATCCACTGGGCTAGCATTGTACACCAATAGCACAACTATACTGCTGTGTGTTTGTTATGCCACCTTCCACTGTATCTTGGCCAGAAGATTTGATGAATAGTCCAACCCAACCCAGCTTTTGTACATAGGGAAAGGCAACATCTTGTCCTTCACCCCAGGCAGCAAAGTGTCTTGGCCCAATTCTTGTTCTCTGTATCAATCATAGCACAGATCTAGTTCATCAGACCAGTGCAGATCAAATAAAACCAATCAATAAAATACTTTTAAAACTCTCACAATAACTCACCAGGTGGAGCATTTTCCTGCCACTATAGACTGGAGTGGAAAGCAAGCAGCCTTCCAAATGTTGTTAGACTCCAGGTCCCAGCAGCCATAGCCAAAGGTGAGGAATGCTGGGAGTTGTAGTCCAGCAACATCTAGGGACAGATTATTACACCGTCTGACCTTGCTGCAGGGACGGAGATGCAGCTGTGGGATTTCTGCTTCTCTGTACAACAACACTGGGCAGTAGGGTGGGGAATGGAGATGGCAATGCTAAATGCTGCAAAACAAGCACATTTTAAGTTACAAGATGTGATTGTCATTTCCACGTCATGTTCAAATGTCTGGTACTCTGTCAGTGTGGAATAGGCTAAATAACTAGTAAGCAGCAACCCTCTTAGCATGAATAGTAGAAAAGGCAGCAGAGAAGTAATACCCACTAGGGAGTATTTGTGAACCAAAAAGCAACAGGTGAAATTAAATCATATGTTGACACTGCCACCTCGTGGCAAAATTGGAGATTGGTGTGAAAAACTGGAAGAACCTAATCCTCTGATATCTCTTCTAATCTAGGAAATATATTCATGGGTTAGTCATGTTGGTCATGTCTCAAAGCACAACAAAATACAAAATCCACAAAAGCGCTAAACTTTTATTGGCCAGCCAAAATGCAGAAAATACATGCATGTTTTCAAAACTTCAGTGGTTTCTTCATCAAAGATGTGAAATAACATACAGGAGAGGTTTTCTTGTTTTCTTTTTTGGGTGCATGTATATTTTATTGTGCCTTGTCTTTTACGGCCTTTTGTCCCTGGTCCCCACATAGCCAAGAAGAGGGCTGGCCCTGTCTACAATGCTAGCCCTCCAGACCATCTTAACTGACAACAGAAATAACATCTGAGACAAAATGTAGGCCTGTGACTCTAACATTGTCACTTTTCTTCTCCTGTATGCTTTAAACATCTTTGCCTGATGTAGAAGCCAGGGAAGCCATGAAAGTTTGTATGATGTATTTTCTGCACTTTGGTTGTCCAATAAAGATGGATTTTGTGGATTTCAGATTTTGCTGTATAATCCTCTGAGTTGTATCTCTAAGTATGAAATGTGGAGCAGCGCTTCACAATCTCTTATAAACTAATTATTTTTCCACTTCCAAGGAGTGGGAGTAAGAGTTGCACCCAGATCCAAAGCTGTTATTTTGTTGGTCAAATTCTTAAGTTACAGGGGAAACATTTGAAGGTGATCTTTCCTGTAGTATCAGGGCAAAATGCAGAGAGTGGACACTTTAGTTTTTGGACTACAAATCTCAGAATTTCCATGTTTTGTGTGGACATAACCACAATATCAGGGGGATTCTGGGAGCTGTAGTCCCCCAAAAGTAATTTCCCCAAGTTCTGGCAGATGAGATCCTCCAGGTCACCACCATTATATGCCACTATATTCTAAAATTTAATTCCAGATTTATTTTCTATTGCTCCAGAGAGCACAACTAGAACAAAAGGAAGAACTGTTAGGATGGCAGATTATAAGAATCTGTTCACTACATCTGAATCTAAATATATGTTTAAACTAATTTTTTAAAAAATGAAATTGTCTTTGGCACCTTTCCAAACTAATGACAACAATTATATGGAACTTCTTTGTGAGAGACAGGGAACCTGAAAATATTTTGGATTTCAACAAGGGTTAATGTTCTTAAGGCAATATTATGGGAAAGCATGCCTCATTAGAAAAGACAATAAGGCTAGGAAAGGTAGAGGATAGTAGAAAGAGAAGAGGGCCACATGGTAGATGGATGAAATCAATCAGGAAGGACACAGGACTGTGTTTGGAGGACTTGAGCAGAGCAAAAATCCATCAGTGATACTTTTATTGGCCAACTGAAATGCACAATATAGTTGTTGCAAGCTTTCGAAGCTCCATGGGCTTCTTCATCAGGCAAGATGTTACAAACCAAACAGGAGAAAAACAACTGGAGATGTTAGTCAAATGCCTGCATGTTGTTTCAGTCTTTCGTTAAGATGGTTCAGTTGGCCAATAAAGATATCACTGATGGATTTTTGTTTGAATTTGCTAAACAGCCAACACAGGTTCCCCCTGCATGTTTTCTGTATTGAGCAGAACAGTGAAGGATAGGGGATCTTGGAGATGTCTGATCCAAACAGTTGTCATGAGTTGGAGTCAACTCAAGGGCAGTTGACAACAAAATATTCTTCCAAGAAACACAGCTAGGAAGTGTATTACAATGTTTATCAAAAATCTACTTTCCTGTAATGTCTCCTATTCTAGTCAGGTTCTAGTCCTGCTTTTTGGAGAAGCAAACAAAATAATTATGTTCTATGATCTTCATGACAACACTTCAGATAGTTCTGGACAAAACCCCTGACTTCCTTTAATCTTTCCTTCTCAAGGAAGTAGATCATCATCATCAATCATCATCCATGTCACTGACCCTTTTTGGAACTGGAATGCTATGGTTGATAGGTTTTGGTCTCTCCATCAGAGGGTTTTCTTAATTAGGTTCTTCAGTTCAAACTAGAGTTGAAATGAATGTGCTTTCTGTGTATCCAGAAGAGAAGTAATTGTGGCTGGTGATTCCCAGTCATATGTTGTGAATCTTCTCGGGGTTTTAATCTGAGCTTTAAAGGATCTATCCAAAGTGCTGAACCTATTTGGAGGCTCAGTTTTAGA